TGTGTAAATTATGCCTGTAGAAGCCAAAGGTTGGTCAATGTTAGCAGAACTACAAAGATCTTTTAACATACTCACTCATCTCCCAAGAATGATTTAGCATTAGGGTTGAGTTCTTTTATTAACAGTAAGCTGAGCTGTGGCGCAGTGTTTGTGCAGCACAAAGTGTGTGAGTTTATACAGAGGCTAAATAAAAAACAATTCCCTCTGTGATTTGGCCAACACGTGTTTACATTCGCATCTTGACTATTGAGGTTAGATTACCACAGGCGATACACTGAGATTAGGTTTGGCAGAATTCTGATGACAGCTCTGGTCGCTTGTTATAGAATAAATGACATCTGGAAGCTGTAATGCTTTGTAGTTGAGTGCATTCATTCAGACAAAAGAAGGAGAGCTACAGCACGGCAGCATTCAGAGTTTCATGCTCATTCAGACTGCATGTGCCTCTTCAGATGTTCCAGCCAAGTGGATTTTAAATGCAATTTCCAAAGAAAAGAAGTAGCGTACCTTTTGATAATTAAAGGGGTCATATGATGTTGCTAAAAAGAACATTATTTTGTGTATTTGGTGTAATGAAAAGTGTTTATGCGGTTTAAGGTTCAAAAACACATTATTTTCCACATACTGTACATTATTGTTTCTCCTCTATGCCCCGCCTTTCTGAAACGCATCTCGTCCTCTTTTGGAAGACCAAACAAAGTAGTTTCGCTTTCACAACGAAACACACAGCTCTTCACGACATGGCGGCAACAACAATACTACAGAGAGAATAAAAGTTAGGCCTTCTTTCTTTGCGTGAACATTTGGGCGGCGTTATGCAAATCTTCCCACATAGTGATGTAGATATGTGGGGGCGTGTTAGAACGAGCCGTTTTAGGTAGGTGTGGCTGACTCTGAACTTTTATAAAGAATATCTCTTTGGATTTGAGACTTTAGTCTTTGCAACTTTACAGATCTTCTTTATGCACCAAGAGCTTGTAACACTCCAAAGAGAAAGGAAAAATTGAAATCGCATCATATGACCCCTTTAAGTTGTACAATTACTATAGGTAAGTGTTTATATAAACAGCTGGCAGAAATCTCATATTTACATTTTGTGTCAAATTGAGTGTGTGTGTGTGTGTGTTTGTAATATTATTTAATATGGTAATATTAAAGTATTACATTTATTCATATACATTTTATGATATGTGCTTATACAAAATATATTGTATTAGTTTATATAATAAAACATTAAAAACATAAAATAATATATTATTGTATAGCCTATTTGTTTATAAATTAAAATATTATATTTTTTATATTTATATAACTAGATTTATAAATTATATAAAGTGTGTGTAACACTTAGTTATATAAAATATTACATTTATTTATATATATTTTATATATGATATGTGATTATGGTAGGCCTATATTTATGTTTAAATTAAAATTACATTCATGTATGCATTTTACATATGACATATGTAATTATTGTATAGCCTATCTGTTTATAAATGAAAATATTTTATATTTATATAAAATTATATAAAGTGTGTGTGTGTAAAAACAATTATATAAAATATTACATTTATTTATATACATTCAATATATGGGATTATGGTAGGCCTATATTCCATTATAAATTAAAATATATTTGTATATTTATATAATTACTTTTATTTAATTAAATATAGTATAAAATGTGTGTAAAACTAAAATACATGTGATTTTTGTGTAGCCTACATTATGATATATATGTTTATATATTAAATATGTGTTTTATATAATATTTAATAAAATATAACAATTTGTCAATTTAATATTTTATTAATGCACTTTTAAACGATAGCCTAAATAAAAATGCTATGTGAAGGAAGATATTGTTAGTACTAGTAGTAGTACTTGTAGGGTTTTTGTGCACATCTCAGGGTTGTAAAACATTGTAAATGTGTTAAAAACCAGAGCTAACCAATAATAATTTTACCAGGCAGAGCATAAGAGTTATCACATGGTCATTTAACTTAACTACTTGATTGATAGAGAACATTAGACTCAAGCTGATTAAAATGCCAGCGGCCTGTTGATCCATTTTTTCAAGTGTGGAGAGTTGACCTTTCACGTGGCTGATGATGGTCCCTTCCACAAACGGTGGGCAAAGTGACAACTGGCCGCGGATTCCTCGACGCCACTCCAAAAAAGTACACGCGAGTTGCGTTTAATTTTTTGGGATAATGTGACTGACAGCTCGGCCTCTCACCCCTAATTAGTGCTCGGTAATTTATGAGCTACTGCCACGAATTATGCAACACCATCACAGATCCTCCAGTCAGTGAAATGGCGGATTGCGCGCGCTTTGCTGAGGCGCTGCTCGAAATAGTCCAGTCATGCTAATATTGGCGCGGAGTTACCGGGCAGAGATAATGTGACAGCTTTGCGTTATGAGCACATTAGCATTTGTATATCTAATTTATTGCATGTAATGTTCTCTTTTGTTTTTCTATCGCTATTAATTAAGCTAATCATTCTATACCTACTCTTTTTCACACTGGCTTGTGGTCAGTGTTTTAAGTCAAAAGACCAGTTATACATTTATTTTTTTAATGTTGGTTTAAAACATCTGTTTTAAATTAGAAGATTTAGCGAATTCTGTAGGACTACTCTTATTTTTGCCCACTGTACTGAAAACCACACTGACACACACACTGTTCTTCAGAATAATCGTGTACATTTTAATTGTTTCATGAATTGTTTTGTCTTTCCTAATTGTTTACTTTGTGAAGCTATTTCATTTAAAGCCTATAACCAGCAGAGTGACAACATGCCCCACTAAAGGTCAAGATCTATAGACCTACAGAAAGTAATGTTGATTCAGAATACAGAAACTGACATTTCAAAATAAACTGTGACAGCCCTGGTCTCCTCTACACTTGTAATTTTTCTATATCCAATATTATTATTTTTTTTCTAGGCTATATAATTGATTTAATTTTTGTTCATATGGCCTAGTGAGCTTGTCAATTTCATTGTCAACACTACTGAATACTGTAGTACATATGACAAATATAATTAACTCAACTTTGAACTCAAGGGACACAAACAGGCTACAAATACAACCAGAGTGACCAGAGTTTCAATGTCACAATTTATAAAATACCTATACTGTACTTTGCTGTCACAAAAACAAGTTGGCTTAGTAACCAGTTCTACATTGTGAAATATGACTTAATCTGCCATATGAACTGTTTTTTCATGCACTGTTTTTCATGCACCCCCAGCACTTTAGGACGCTCCTCAGTGCTGGTTTCAAAAAAGAGGCCTTTGTTTTACCCACTTAAGCAAGAGAAACCCCTGGCCATACATCTCTTGTCCATCATTGCTGTTGTCATAAGCCAATATTAATCTACAGCTGTCCGGTATTCACTGCAACCACAACCAAAAAGAAAAGGCTCAAATGGCAGCGTGATAACATTCACTCTCCCGCTTTCTTTCTCGCTTCCCATTTCCTTTTCATTGCCTGACTCTATGGCCGAGTGAACAAAACATCACACAGATTAAAAGTAGCCCATGGTTACATTCCTACTCATGTTGCGAACATATTGATGCAGAAAAATTTATATTGAAATTATTTCATCTCTGATGGTCTCGCTTTTGAGGTTTCGAAGGTTGCAGCAAATTCATAATAGTCTTTTGTTTCCTTCTTAAGCGCCCAAAGCAAGCAGAAATCAATTTCAAGATGTGCCTGGTATGAAAAGATGCCTCTATACAGTAATACCCATTCTCTCAAGAAAAAAACTCGTAGTCTTGTCTGGCTTGCTTAGTTGGGGACACTTCATTTCCAGCGATACCGTTGACTTGATTGCAAAGATACTATTTAAACTGAGCTGGATGTTGACATCACTGAATTCAATGATGAACTGTCTTTAACTGAAAAATTTGTGTTTACTATTGTCATTTTGCATTATTGACACTATTTTCCTAATTAATGCTGTTCAGTTGCTTTGACACAATCTGTATTGTTAAAAGCGCTATATAAATAAAGGTGACTTGACTTGACTTGACTCTATACACAAGTTTGCAATTTAACGAACTTTCTCTAAAACACTTAAGAGCAGCAAAAAGTGTGTATCGCCTGGTTTTATTTCCATTTTTGTTTCGTAGGATGAAGATAGACAACTGATAAAAACAGACAACACCTCATTCTCCTCAATGCACTGGAAAAATACTTTCAAAGGTAATATATTACATGTCATACATTCAAATACACCGTGGTGAGACGTCACCCTATAGGCTGACGGTGACTGAAAGTGGTTGTTAAAAAAGTACAAATGAAAGAATCAATATTTCTGTCATGCTGTTTGCTACGTGTAGCACTGGATACACTAGGACACATAAAGTATATACAGCACAGCGTAATGGTGTTTGTATCTACTTCCAGTTAAACCCACACCACTCTTCTGAAACAAATGAAAAACCAAACCAGTTGTTCCCTTTCGCCGTGTGTCTAGATACAACGAAACGCCTGTTTAATGAAATCCAGGGCGCTTGCTCGGTCAAACGGCGCAGTGCCGTTGTGTGTGCGTCTGCTAAAAACCACAACAGTTGTCGGTGACAGGTGCAGAAAGCAATATAGATAGAGTCAAGTGGCTTCAAATAGCCGCTCTCTGTCATGATAGGGAATGCTGCTATCGCATCAGAAACTCTGTTTTTTCATGTAGACGGTCCGTCTTTTCTGCAAGTTCGTCCCCATGAAGTAACGTTTGTCCTTTTTTAAAATCTCATTTTGGGTCCGTTTCGCTGAGGGTCGGGGGAGGGACGGGGCGAGAGCAGCTGCTAGTCACACCACTACAGCATGTTTGCTCCTCTTTACAGTCTTTTCTCCATTGAGAGAGTTTTGCATTCATCCGAAGGGTTCAGCTTAGGATGGTCCCGCTGCAGAGGGTGTAGCGCCGAGCTGCAAGTGAGACGAGAATCTGTTACAGACAAGCCAGAGAAAGACAAGCCAGCGTAGAAAGAAGCGGCCGCAGGGCACTAAAACCAGTACAAGTCCTTGCTCTTATCCTGGCTCTGTAGACCTGAGAGGAAGAAGGAAAAGGAAGAAAAGGATAAAGAAATGAGGAGAGGGAAAACAAGCAGCAAATATAAAGAAGTGAGGAGACTTCAGGCAAAAAAAGCATTGAAGAGTGAGAGTGAAAATGAGGAACGAATACGTCAGCAGAGCAGAGGTCAAAGTCAAAAACCTTGAAGATAACTAGATTCAAAACTCAGAATATGTGCTTCAAGAAGCTCTTAGACACTATTATTTTTACATTATATGTTTGAAGTTTTTGAGCTGACTTTTTTGATGCACCGTTTTTAAGCTACGGTGGCCCTAAAATGTATTTAGACGCTTTAAGGCACACTTAAAAAATCTAAATGTCATTGCATTATATAACAAAATATTAAACTGAGTGGCATTTGCAGACAAATCATACTGGAGCTTTTCTCTGAAATAACTTTTATTTGAACTGATGTCAACGTGATTTTAGTAGATGTATGATGTCAGTTCTCTTAAAATTCACACAGGCGTCCTGACAAAGTAACCACAGGTTTGTTCATCACATTAACTACACTATGTTCAAAAGTTTGAGGTGAGTAAGATTTTTTTTTAAGTCAGTGAGGATGCATGAAATTTATCAAATTGACAGTAAAGACATTTATAATGTTACAAAATAATTATATTTTTAAATAAATGCTTTCTTTTCAGCAAATAATCCTGAAAAATGTATCACAGTATCCACAAAAATTAAGCAGAATTGTTTTCAACATTGATATTAATAAATGTTTCTTAAGCAGCAAATCAGTATATTGATTTCTGACGGATCAAGTGACACTGAAGACTGGCGTAATGATGCTGAGAAATCTGAGAAATACATTACATTTGACATTATATTAAAATAGAAAACATTTAAATATAAATGTATAAATATATAAAAACATTTTTATGTAAATATAATAATATTTAACAGTTTTTACTGTATTTTTGATCCTTTGTGAACTTTGTGCATAATTTCTACTAACATCTGGCAACCAGAAAGTGTCACAAAAAGACTTTATTTTATTATCTAAAGCCAAAACTTTGTTTTTAGTGACATGTTTTTCTTGCAAAGTGTTCTATTCGTTAAAATAAATGCCTTTTGGTTTGATATTTTGTTTTCAAATGCAGTGACAATCATACGTTTTTTAAGTGTAGCTCATGTGAATAAACACTGCTGCTGTATGTAGACTGCATGCCGTTCACACCTGTATCCATGTTCAGACTCATATCAGAGCTCGGAGCTGTGAAAGCTCCGGTCCACGCCGAGCTGCCCGGCTCACTCTTGCTGATATCGCACGGCGAGGCTCCAGGTGCGGGAACAGTGGCTGGAGGAAGTCTATGCGGCCGCACCGAGGGCACGAGCAGAGAGCTGTAACGGGGGTCAAAGTGCGTTCCGTACATGTCGTGTATGGAGGGCCGGGGGTAAGCGGACCCCTGGGTGCCGATGGCTCCACTGAGCGAGTAAGGGTGATGGTGGTGAGAGGGGTGCCAGGGCTCTGGGGTGGCTTGGTGAAGGTGGCTGTGTAGAGATGCGGTGGAGTACGGGTCCGCTGGGAAGGGAAGATCTGTGTGGGAGGAACCCAGGGCGCTGCTGAGAGTTGCTGTGACCGAAGGCTGATATGCACTGTTCCAGAAAGAGGGAGGGAAGCTTCTCTGGCTCATAGGGAATGAATCGACACCACTCTTCTGAAACAAATGAAAAACCAAACCAGTTGTTCCCTTTCGCCGTGTGTCTAGATACAACGAAACGCCTGTTTAATGAAATCCAGGGCGCTTGCTCGGTCAAACGGCGCAGTGCCGTTGTGTGTGCGTCTGCTAAAAACCACAACAGTTGTCGGTGACAGGTGCAGAAAGCAATATAGATAGAGTCAAGTGGCTTCAAATAGCCGCTCTCTGTCATGATAGGGAATGCTGCTATCGCATCAGAAACTCTGTTTTTTCATGTAGACGGTCCGTCTTTTCTGCAAGTTCGTCCCCATGAAGTAACGTTTGTCCTTTTTTAAAATCTCATTTTGGGTCCGTTTCGCTGAGGGTCGGGGGAGGGACGGGGCGAGAGCAGCTGCTAGTCACACCACTACAGCATGTTTGCTCCTCTTTACAGTCTTTTCTCCATTGAGAGAGTTTTGCATTCATCCGAAGGGTTCAGCTTAGGATGGTCCCGCTGCAGAGGGTGTAGCGCCGAGCTGCAAGTGAGACGAGAATCTGTTACAGACAAGCCAGAGAAAGACAAGCCAGCGGAGAAAGAAGCGGCCGCAGGGCACTAAAACCAGTACAAGTCCTTGCTCTTATCCTGGCTCTGTAGACCTGAGAGGAAGAAGGAAAAGGAAGAAAAGGATAAAGAAATGAGGAGAGGGAAAACAAGCAGCAAATATAAAGAAGTGAGGAGACTTCAGGCAAAAAAAGCATTGAAGAGTGAGAGTGAAAATGAGGAACGAATACGTCAGCAGAGCAGAGGTCAAAGTCAAAAACCTTGAAGATAACTAGATTCAAAACTCAGAATATGTGCTTCAAGAAGCTCTTAGACACTATTATTTTTACATTATATGTTTGAAGTTTTTGAGCTGACTTTTTTGATGCACCGTTTTTAAGCTACGGTGGCCCTAAAATGTATTTAGACGCTTTAAGGCACACTTAAAAAATCTAAATGTCATTGCATTATATAACAAAATATTAAACTGAGTGGCATTTGCAGACAAATCATACTGGAGCTTTTCTCTGAAATAACTTTTATTTGAACTGATGTCAACGTGATTTTAGTAGATGTATGATGTCAGTTCTCTTAAAATTCACACAGGCGTCCTGACAAAGTAACCACAGGTTTGTTCATCACATTAACTACACTATGTTCAAAAGTTTGAGGTGAGTAAGATTTTTTTTTAAGTCAGTGAGGATGCATGAAATTTATCAAATTGACAGTAAAGACATTTATAATGTTACAAAATAATTATATTTTTAAATAAATGCTTTCTTTTCAGCAAATAATCCTGAAAAATGTATCACAGTATCCACAAAAATTAAGCAGAATTGTTTTCAACATTGATATTAATAAATGTTTCTTAAGCAGCAAATCAGTATATTGATTTCTGACGGATCAAGTGACACTGAAGACTGGCGTAATGATGCTGAGAAATCTGAGAAATACATTACATTTGACATTATATTAAAATAGAAAACATTTAAATATAAATGTATAAATATATAAAAACATTTTTATGTAAATATAATAATATTTAACAGTTTTTACTGTATTTTTGATCCTTTGTGAACTTTGTGCATAATTTCTACTAACATCTGGCAACCAGAAAGTGTCACAAAAAGACTTTATTTTATTATCTAAAGCCAAAACTTTGTTTTTAGTGACATGTTTTTCTTGCAAAGTGTTCTATTCGTTAAAATAAATGCCTTTTGGTTTGATATTTTGTTTTCAAATGCAGTGACAATCATACGTTTTTTAAGTGTAGCTCATGTGAATAAACACTGCTGCTGTATATGCCGTTCACACCGTTCACACCTGTATCCATGTTCAGACTCATATCAGAGCTCGGAGCTGTGAAAGCTCCGGAGCTGCCCGGGCTGCCCGGCTCACTCTTGCTGATATCGCACGGCGAGGCTCCAGGTGCGGGAACAGTGGCTGGAGGAAGTCTATGCGGCCGCACCGAGGGCACGAGCAGAGAGCTGTAACGGGGGTCAAAGTGCGTTCCGTACATGTCGTGTATGGAGGGCCGGGGGTAAGCGGACCCCTGGGTGCCGATGGCTCCACTGAGCGAGTAAGGGTGATGGTGGTGAGAGGGGTGCCAGGGCTCTGGGGTGGCTTGGTGAAGGTGGCTGTGTAGAGATGCGGTGGAGTACGGGTCCGCTGGGAAGGGAAGATCTGTGTGGGAGGAACCCAGGGCGCTGCTGAGAGTTGCTGTGACCGAAGGCTGATATGCACTGTTCCAGAAAGAGGGAGGGAAGCTTCTCTGGCTCATAGGGAATGAATCGTCTGGGGAGGGAAACATTTAGATGTTCTGCATGTTAATGCGCATAAAAGCATGTGATAATTCAAACATACAACATTATGAACCTTTAAATATTTTGTTTGAGATTAAAATTAAATGCCCACATATTTGGATTCACAAAACATAAATGCAACAAATTGATTGTAAAAATTATGTCCTAAATATCTTTATATCTTGATTTAATTTGCATCAGCTTTAAAAAAATATATCTATTGATACTGAAACAATGCAAAAAAATAAAAATAAAATTGTGCCTGTTGCAATTATTAATAGCTATGCAATCATAATTGATTGTAAAAAATGATGTCCTATTTATCTGAAAGTTAACTAATATGCATGAGCTTTTAAAACTCTACCTTTTGATACTGAAGCAATCCAAAAATAAAATTGTGCTTGTTGTGATAACTAATGTGAAATCATAACTGATTGTTAAAATTATGTCCTAATTATTATTTGCTTTACTTTTTTTTTTAATCTATCTATTGATCTTACAAAATAATAATATTAATAAAATTGGTACCATTGTCATGACTAATATCTGTACAATCAAAATTGATTGTATAAATTATGTCCTAAAATTATTTAATATATGTTATAATATACTATTTAATATATCATATTTTAATATATTTTAATTAATTAGCATTAGATTTTAAAAATCCATCTATTGATCTTGAAACAATGCAAACAAAGGAAATTTGTTTCCATTGTCATGACTAACAGCTGTGCAATCATAAAGGATGCAAGGAAAAGAGATATTAAATTAAATGTAAAAATTATGTCCTAATTATCTGTATATCTTAATTTGATTTAAATTAGCTTTTACAATCTATCGATCTACCTATCTTGAGACAATGCCAAAAAAAAACAACAACACGAAAAGTAAAATCATTCCCATGACTAAAAGCTGTGTAGTCATAAAGGATAAAAATAAAACATATACGAATTATGCATCAGATTCCCACCTCTCCAGGACGATGTACCTCTTGCGGTCTTGCTGTTGGTGGATCCAGGTGCGTAACTACTGGACAGACTCAAAGCCCGACTAAAATGTTCATCCACCACCGAACTGATGTCCCCTTGGAAATACGTGAATAGCACACATCTGGAGCTGATGTACTCAGCCTCCGGCGTGTGATCTTTCTCCCGGGCGCAGTCCTCCTCTTTTATAGGTGGCCCGGAGAGGTTAGAAAAAGAAGAGCTGCTTCCGCTCACTGTTTCTGGGGATTCTTGCATTTTCGAGTAAAATGCCAGTTTCTGAAAGCATGTAAAAAAAATGGGCAAAAATCTATTTACATGATACAGAATTACACTCACATACATTCTATTTATACACAGACAGATATATGGAATCAGTGTAGTCGTGTATTACATCAGTGTGTTTGCTGTTGCACAATTTGTGTTCATATAATGTTTCAAAACTTTTTTTAAAACACTAGCACATAGAAATATACTCTCCATAAAGCATTACACATGCCAGTATTTCTACACTAAATATTTATTTAGGATAACAACATGAAATCTATAAAATACAGAAAATCTGTTTTCAAGTCTTTCATTTTTCTATTCTCGTTATTAAGGATAAGCTTATGAAACAGCACAAGAAAAATACGACTCAAATAACAATTCCAAAAAGATTAAAAGCTTAATCTTAATAGTTAATAATAAGTTAATAATCAAGTTAATATGTCATACATACTGATCATATACCATAATAACCTATACAGTCAATATACAGTGTGTGTACATTTAAAATGATTGAAAGCATACAATTAGGCTATATTTATGACATGTGTCATATATAAATGCTTGCTTTTAATAATTTTAAACAACACTTAAACCACCATTTAGCCTATACAGTCACGTTGTTTTCCATTAACATCTAACTATGCGACTTATTTTAAAACTGTAAAACTATTTGGTCAAGATTGCAGGCGCAACAAGTCAAAGAAAGTTGCGCGCAAGGATTCAAACAAAATCAAAACAAACAGAACTGCTGTAAAATAAAATGAAAATGCATTTTCTTCTCACACAAAAGAAGCATAATAAAGTTAACTTACACATGAACATACCTGATGGTGATATGGTGTGTATGCTGCGGCAAAATAAGGCTGAGGTGGACCATAAACTTGATACATGACATCCAAGCAGCTCATGGCGAAGACAGCTGTTATATCACGTATAGAAGCTTATTAGCGGAATGAGAAGACGCTTCATTTGAAATAAAGCGCTGGCTCAGCGTGCACAGACAGAAAATGAAGCTCCGCGTCGAGTCCAGCTGAAACGCACTGAGTAGCTTTTATGTTCTGTACTCTGTCTTTACGCACGAGTCTGATTCACTTTAAAGATCCGGTTCATCAAATGATGAATGGTTCAGTGAGTCGATTCATTTGAATAATCACTCAAAGGGTTCCCACAAGTCCTTGTGCGCTCGATGCAGGTTCTTGCTTGCAGTAAAATAAATATGTATGTGTTGAAAAATCCTCGAACATAACACTTGCACAACAATATAAGCTAGTAGGTGTGTTTTGAAATATGGTAGCTGGTTTCTAGCAGGTCATTCCCTAAAGCAGCGAAAATGTTCCAAAAAAATGAGTCGAAATTTAGTCAATTTACTCAATTTAATCTAGTCAATTTACTTCAGACGTTTTAGACGTCTTCCAGTTCCATGCGGGCATCCTAACTGAGATCTTGAACGTGTCAGTAAACATAGTCTATGCTTTGTTTTATGTTGTCTTGATGTTTTGTAAAAAGTCAGATGTTGTGTTTCTAAGATGTTTCTTACCTCATCATGTTACTATGAAAGTTGAAGTTCGCGTGATTAGAAACACTGCAAATCTGTGCGTGAATCGCTAAAAAGAATCGGTTCAAATAAACGACTCCTGAAGCGAACCGAACGAGGCGTTTTGACGTATGTCTACACCAGAGACCAATATCTCCTTATGAATCGTTCCTACAGGTAGCATAATGTCCCTCTAACCATCAAACTGTTCTGGTTTTACAAATAAAAGTATATTTTTGTTTTTATTTTAGATTTGAGTGCATATTTCATAACACAATATAGACTACATCTTCTGAGACAGTGACTGCAATATACAGTAGTCAACATTTGAAGTGGATCAAAACCTTTC